AGTGGAGTTTATACCAAAAAGTTCTATTTTGGTCTCATCTGACCACATGACCTTCTCCCATGCCTCCTCTGGATCATCCAGATGGTCTTTGGCAAACTTCAGATGGGCCTGGACATGCGCTGGCTTGAGCAGAGGGACTCTGCGTGCGCTGCAGGATTTTAAGCCATGACGGTGTAGTGTGTTACTAACCATTGAGACTGCGGTCCCAGCTCTCTTCAGGTCATTGACCAGGTCCTCCTGTGTAGTTCTAAGCTGATCCCTCACCTTTCTCAGAGTCATTGATAGTCCACGAGGCGAGATCTTCCATGGAGCCCCAGTCCGAGGGAGATTGACAGTCATCTTGAATTTCTTCCATTTTCTAATAATTGCACCAACAGTTGCCTTCTCACCAAGCTGTTTGCCTATTGTCCTGTAGCCCATCCCAGCCTTGTGCAGGTCTACAATTTTGTCCCTAGTGTCATTAAACAGCTCTTTGGTCTTGCCCATAGTGGAGAAGTTGGAGTCTCATAGACTGAGTGTGTGGACAGGTGTCTTTTATACAGGTAACGAGTTCAAACAGGTGCAATTAATACAGGCAATGAGTGGAGGATAGGAGGGCTTCTTAAAGACAAACTAACAGGTCTTGAGAGCCAGAATTCTTGCTGGTTGGTAGGTGATCAAATACTTATTTCATGTAATAAAATGGAAATAAATTATTTAAAAATCTAACAATGTGATTTACTGGACTTTTTTTGTAGATTCTGTCTCTCACAGTTGAGGTGTACCTACGATGACAATTACAGAACTGTCCATTCTTTGTAAGTGGGACAACTTGAAAAATTGGCAGTGTATCAAATACTTATTTGCCCCACTGTATATGTCCACACTTTGCCTAATAAGAAACATTTAGCTCCACACAAACCAGGATGCAACTCCATTTTTTTACAACGTGGAACTTGTGTTACACCAACGTGTTTGGCTTATTGTCTTAATTGTTAAACCTGCTGCAGTGGTTTTCTAACGGACAGTTTTCAGGGCATGTTGTGAAAAGCACACATAAAGACAACTGTCGACTTAAGTGGTTTCTTTAGCAGATTGCTTTTTGACTCCATGAAGAAGACTTAGCATGCATTTGTAATTTTTAGAATAACTTTTTATAATCATGCACACCTGGCCAAACACAGTGAGTCCTATTGCTAAAAGCCATTGATACTAATGTTAGTAGATTGACCTGAAAGTCTAAAGGAGTGTTTGCTGATATGCTTTTTGGTTGTGTTGTGCTTCTGTACAGTTGCTGCTGACATATTACCATGGTCTGTGCTGTGTGTTATTTAAAATGATATGCTATTACATATCTTGGTTGGTTTATATTCACCACTCAGAACATTACTGTATTTGTACCCATGCTGTAGGCATAGCACTGGGGTATTGTTTGGCCAGTTAAGCTTTTATTTTGTACTTAAAGCTGAGAGTGGGCGCTACATGGTGCTTAATGATAGAAAGCTGGACTCTCAGGGACTTTGACCTCATCAAAAAAGTCAAAATAACATTTCATGTGATTGATTTAGGTTGTTTTTAGCTGTGATACATACATGATGACACCGGATAATCTCTCACACTTAGAAAAAAGTAATCTGTACCCACATGTTTATTTTTTAGGTATGAAGATGATAAACTTTAGGTCTTTTTTAAAGGAAAGTGAGGATGACTTGTGGATAGACACTGGCTGAGGCAAATTGCAGTTAAAGAACAAATTACAATCCATTCATTCATCCATTACTGTGAATCAATAAAACTTCATCACATACTAAGCTTCTTGACTCTGTCTTGTTAATGTATCATACTGTACTGTACTGCATTTTGTTTTTGCTGAGAAAGTGGCATGAATTTTGTCCTTTCTCTGCATCAGTACTGTATGTAGCATTTTCCTTCCACATGCTCTGATATATCAATTATTTTGTGGGAAGATTGTATCTGTCTAAACATGTTGCCTAAGCATTCCAGGTTCTTGGTTTGTACTGCACTTACTGGTTGGTTACAGTCCAGTAGAATACCGGGACTTTATTTTACAAGGGTCTCCTAAGCTGCCCAAAGACAACTCTTCGAAACTGATTTTCTGTGACATTATCCTTTGCAAATACTGCCCCTGAACTGAGAAACTGCCTGGTTTTTCCAGTAACAAAAATACACACAAGCGTCCAGGAATTCATGTCTAAAGTCAAGTATATCAAATGTGGTACACGTGGGTGGAGTCATCAACTATGTCTGGAAAGGAAATGTACTCTTAACAAAAGTGTGTCTTGATCACCGCTGACAAGTCCACCCAGAAAGAAAACAGCGGAGCTGTGAAGGGGTCACTGGCTGAGATGAAACAGCTGCCAGGCAAACAGGAAAGGTATACATGAAAGGAGAACACCTGGGTGTAGTCACACACATGTGGCATCCTTTCATACACTTTCAGCAATAAATACACATGCCAATGTACAAATACACACTGTACACAAGTATAGAGGACAGATTATCCAGGCTTAATTTAAGGATAAGGAAAAGGATAATCACCTTTATTGGCCAAGTATGTTACACACAAGGAATTTGTTTCCGGTACAGAACCGAGGCAGCCATCTGTGGCACCAACTCAACCGATAGCTCTAACCATCGGGGGCAATGGGGGGTTTCAGTGTCTTGCCCAAGGACACTTTGACATGTGGACTGCAGGCACCGAGATTCACACCTTCAACCTTCCGGTTGGGAGATGGCTGCTCTACCCACCGCACCACTGTCGCCTTCCCCATAAGAGGGCATAAAATAGTTTCTTTTTAGTTAGTTTAACATTTTTTAACCTGTGAAAATGGGAGTTAGTGCTTGTGCACTTTCACTTGTCTGGAAACAGTTCCATCATACTGGCAGACACTAGCTAGTGTCTAGAAATTGCTATAATAAAATATGATTTTGTAAGTCAGAACCTGATTACATCTCAGGAAGGCCCATTTTTGTGCTGTGTGGACATGTGTGGGGCTACATGCAAAGTAAAACCCAAGCAGACCAAATCACTGTACATATCAGGTCTGAAGAGGAGAAAGAAAAGAGGTGAGAAATTATGAGAACACTTTATTTGTACACTCAATCACACAGTCTTGTTTTATCCCTACAGGCCCACTTCCTATTTGCAGCATGTGTTTTTATTCAGGAGGCTCCCTTGCCACCCCACCCTGACCTGATGGGGACCACAGACAGCACCACAGTGGAGACTGTGTGCAATCGGTGAATGTCTGACCTGTCCATACAAGCTGCAAAGAACCCTCTCTGCAACACAAACATACACGCGTACAACAGTGACGTGCGGTGAGGTTGACAGCTGGTGAGGCACCGACTCTTTTACAGTCAGATTTGCAAATACAAATGAACCGTTAACAAATTGTCTGTTAACAGACAATGCGTTATGTTTTATATCTCATATCAGCATTCTTCACACAAACGTGACCCATATTTAATTTGAGGTTAAAATTTATTCCAATTGAGCTTATTTCTAACTAGAAATAATAAAAGTTTATGGTCTTACCTTTACTTGTACATGAAATCCATTTGTCAGCTGGTATGTATTACAAACCCTTTTACCGTTCGAATCCAATATTAAAACAAATGTTCTCAATAAAGAAGATCCTTCTGGACAAAAATGTCCAGACTGTCAAAAATGTTTTGATTGAAAGTCCAGATTTGCGAATTTTCTCAGCTTGGAAATGTAATCTTCCATTTTGATAAGGCGGATTGTAAAGGAAATATAAACAAGCACAAAGAAGATTGTAGGTAGCGCAAGAATCTGTGGGCTCACTAGTGCCCTCTGCCTTGAGGCAGGCGTACTGTTTGCCTCACCGAGTAACTTTTTTACTGGGTTTTATGGTTAATCTGGAGCCTAAACACGTTACAGAACTACATTTTATACATTAT